GGTGAAGAGGCTCCCTTATAAATGGGAAAACCAGGGCTCTGCACAGCCTAGCACACAGCAGGAGATCTCTTTGCCCCCAAGCCCCCTCTCAGGGTCCTGTGAAGAGTAAGTTTTCCTCATGCATTTTACATTAGTGAATTTATGGAAAGGTGATCTGCAGCTTTTTTGGAAACATATTCACCATGTAAAACAAAACTTACCTCTGCTTGTGGCCAACCCTAAAGCACTATACAAAGGAATTGGATTTTTTTTTAAGAAAAGAGAAAGGGGCTTAGAAATTTTTACTCAGAACTTGATGAATTTAGTTTTCTATCAATAGTCTTGGTGACAGACAATATCTGTTGTCATGACCATCTAATGCTGGTCTCTCAGGTCCCCAGGCAATTACTGACTCCTCCTACTATTTAAAGCAGCAGACTGGTGATTTTCTACTGGCTTTTGACAGTAAAATTGGCATTAGGTCAGTTTGTTTTCTCTGACTAATTTGGAAAGACGTCACATTTGAAAAAAAGATTTCATTACGAATGAACTTTCCATTTGGGAAACCAGTATCAGAAAAGATCCTGTGACAATTATGCTGCTCTTAATTTATTTCTCACCTTTTCTTGCACCTTATTCACTTCAGTGAGGGTATACAATACCTCAGTAGGCAAGAAGGTGGAGTGCAAAAATCACGTAGCGTCTTATAAGTCGATGTAAGGTCTTTGGCTTCTACTCTGGGAAATATGGTGATTTTTACCAATGGAGGTCTTAACAGGTTTTTGAACAAAGAAGTGACATGATATATGTTTGAAAGGACCACTTTGGCTGCTGTTTTCAGAATAGACAGTAGGGTTTGTGGGTTTGTGGCAGGTGTTTACAAAAAGGAAATGAATTAGAATGCTCTTGTATAGCCCAGGAGAGACATGAGATTGGCTTGAGCCAAGGTAGCAATGGTGAAAAATGGCTGTGTTCTGCGGAAGTTAGAGCTAACAGAATTTCCTGATAAATTGGTTATGAGGCATAAGAGAAAGAAAGGAGTTAAGGATGACTCCAGGATTTTTCTCTCAGTAACTAGAAAGATAAAGTTGTCATCAATTAAACTGTGCAAAGCTGAAAATGAGGTTTGAAGGAGAAGATAGAACTTTGGAGACATTTTACATTTAAGATGTCTACTAGATCATCTACATGGGTATTGTTGTTTGGAATTCAGGGACATTGTCAGCACATAGGATAAATTTAAGCCTGGAGACTGGGATAAGACATCATCAGAGAAGACTACAGAGATAGAAAGCAGACCAAGGGAGGCCCTAAGTACTCTGACATGTAGAGGCCAGAGAGATAAGGAAAAACCAGCAAGGGGGACTGAGAAAGAGTCTCCAGTGAGGTGGGAGGAGAACCAGGCAACCATAGTGTCCCAGAAACATGAAAGGAAGAAATGGGATCCACTCTGCCCAAAGATGTGGAGTCTGTGGATTGCTTTTCAAATTTGGTGATGGGAGGCCATCATAGAAGAGCCTTTCAACATGTAGGGCTGTGCCTAAATATCTGTGTCCAGAAAATTTGTCATGAAACCATCAAGAATCTCTGAATTTGCAAATTCTTATCTAACAAATTTTCCCATTGTTTCATTTACTTAACACCTTTTAAAAGCTAAGAGTAATCACATTTTTAAAATGTCTTTATAGTCTTTATCCCTTTTCACTAACTTCTGAAATCACCAGTGCTACTTGAGTTCTCTATTCTCTGTTTCATTCTGTTAGGTTAGAATCTGTGTTGATTCCTAACTTCACTTACTAGTTGTGTAAATGTGGGAAAATTTCATCTCTTAAGTGTCAAATTCCTTACCTCTAAAAATGGGACTTGTAGTAAGCACTCATGGGAATTTTGTGGGTGTTAAGTGAGAAGATATTTGTGCAGCATTAATTAGGTGGCATTGTAGGGGTAAACAAAGTGTTTCATCCCTCCATGGGATTACTGCCCATATGACCACAAGCACGGAGGACAAATCACACTGAAAGGCAGATGCTGGCTGGTTGACTAGGTTCCCTCAACAGCTATTGACCACTTCCTAGAAACCCACCTCCCAGCATATGTAATCCAAACTGGAGGACTACAAAATTAGCAAAGATTTATATGTAATGGATGTTCCATTTGCTTGAAAATACTTGGAACTTAAACCTGCAAATGCTAATAAGGGCCGACTACATTGAGTGAGTGCATGAAGGAACAGGTAGGGAAAGGAGGGCTGTAGTAATTAATTCTGCTTGAGTGGGTTTTCCCAGAAGACACTTAGATTTAGTCCTGATGACTTAAGAAAGAAAAATAAAACAAGAAAAAAGTATTCCAGGTCAAGTGAACATAATGTACAAATGTACAATCTTTAAAGAACATGTTCTTTATAGGTGAACAGTTCAGTAGGACCAGAGCCAAGGACAATATGATCAGGGGAGGGAGTCGGGGAGTGGGTAATGAGCAGAGTTGAAGCTGGGGAAGAAGGCAGGGGTCACATCAGTGAGATCCCCTGGGTTGTGCTAAGCGGGTGAACTTTTTCCTGAATGGCAGTGACTAGAGTCCCTGCATGGCTTTATGTAGGAAATGGCATGGCCACATTTGTATTTTAGTGCTATCACTTAGACAGCCAAATGGAAGACAGTCTAGAGAAGAGAGGACAGTGGGACGAAAGGCTGCTGACATCGTTTCTTGTTCCTTCTGTTTGACACATCTCATTTCTTTCCAATCTCCAGAGATAATATACAAATATTCTTCTATTATATACTTAAAAAAAATTCTCAGTTTAAATGTTATCACTCTATTCTCTTTCTATTATATTGTTTATGTTCTTCACAGACAACCCCAAAATTACCCTAAGTGATTTCCTTTGCCTTCCTTATTAGTATTCCAATGAGTTCTACAAAAGTTCTAAACAATGGTTGCAGCTTCTCCAAAGCTAGTGATTCCAGCTGGAGTAGTAGATGTCATGATGGATACCTCCTCCCCACCAGCCCCCATCTTCTGCCTATCACTGGGAATCCCTGTGAGCACAGGCCATATGAGTGGAGTACTAAAGATACTCCAATTAAGACTTCCCCATACTCTGAACCCCAAGAAGTTACCATTTGGGGGACCTTGATTTTCCCTCTGGTATAATTAAGACTCTCAAAAGGACTCTCCTTGGGATTTAGAGTATAATCATTTTGAGATAATTCCTCCTAAAATGAGCTTCTGTGATGAAACAGCAGCCACTTTGGAGTTTATGTGCCAGCTCAGAGGCCTGCCCCACTTTCTGGCACCTTCTTTTGGTTCTTGAGTGGCAAGGCTGCTTCTCCCCACCTGCTCCTGCTGCTGCTTCCTCAGCACACAGCTGCTGAGAGCAAACATTCACTGTCCTTGGCCTAATAAGTAACTTCAGAGTCTCTCAACCGTCTATTGAAAGTCAGCTCGCTTCATTCCAACCCAAGCATTCTTCCTATCAAATCTCGCACATGTTCTCATTTATTTATAATTAGCCAAATGCATGACCTTCCCCAGAAACCCCTGCAGCGTGTTTATAGTTTCCTCCCTGAGGTCTCTCTGAAGCTGACAACATTGCCAGTAGCCACTTCTCACATGCTCAAACTTGCTGAGATTTCAAGCTTCTCAAGACTCCTTTCTCCCAAGAATTTCAATATTTGATTTCCTTTGAATATTTTATGTTAGTGCTACCTTGATTACATACTTTTCCAGTTCCCAGAACCTTCCACAATTGCACGGAGTAACAGAATTGCCAAACTGATTTCTAGAGGTCCTTCTGTCTTCTTTTCTGCCTCTGGGTAGAACAGTAAAGGTACAAAGTATTTTGCCAAGGACAATAACACAAAATACCTGGCAGGGCACAAAACGTGTGTGTGCATGGCTGAGAATAGCCTGGGAACCCACATACAACATAAGTAATTAATGGCACACAATCTTCTCTGTGGATCTGGGTCAGAGCCAAGGAGGAACTACAGAACAATTTGTGCATTTCCAAGTAAGTTTATTATTTTTTTTTTAAAAAAGGAAGGAATAAGACAGTTCTTTTTTCTTTGTCTTTCTCAGAATACTGTATCTGGAAAGAAAGAAAAAGATTATAGATAAAGACCAACCTCTGGCTAATACTAAGGCTAGCGAATTCATCTTGATATTTGCCTTAAGTTCTTACTAATTATCCTAGAAAAATAAGATGTAATTGACAACAAATACAGCAAAGTTATCATTAAAACCAGGATATTTGTAAATTTTCAAGTATGTAAATGATTAGTAGCTGGCCTTATTGAGCCAAGGGTTTGACACTAATGGGAGCAAGGGAGTCAGGAGAGCTGAACGTAACCAGGCTTTCTCACTGGGCATTCAGACTGTCTTACTCTTTAAACATCTAAATCTACTGGTAAAGCACATAGAATTTATTCTCGTTCAAGTATAAATGAAGAACAGCCTAAAATATGTATCTGTTTTTGAACAAGGATCAAAACTAGCTAAAAGTAGACTCATTGAATAATGGCAAGGAGGAATTTGGGACAGTGCACTGAAAATCAGAAATAAATCATGAAAGGTTGCCTGTGGCTCTCTCTTGCTGGGTAAGGTAAGGTCTGTTGAGAATTCTCAACCACTTAGGATTTCCTGAACACTTTCACACTTCCATGTTCCCTCATCATTCTGTTGAATCCTACTGTTCTCACCTCAAACCCACCTCAGACATTTCCCTCCCTGTCTCCTGGCATGCTTAATCAGTCACCCCTCCTCTGTGTGACCTCTGATACTAGAATACATCTCTACTGTGTACTCTGCACGCTGTTTCATAATTTGCTTGCTCACATGCCTGTCCCCTCCATTAGCCCACAAGATCTTCAACAGGAGTTTTGTACCCTGCAAGACTGGTAAAGGCTAAATGTTCAGAAAATACCTGTGGCCTTGAAGTGAATTCAAAATTGGTAGTGTTACCAGTAGGTGTCCAGGTCCTCGGCATCTCGAACAAAGAATTGGACAAAACACACAAATGAAGTGAGGAAAGCAAAAGCAGGGATTTATTGAGAACAAAAGTACACACCACAGGGTGGGAGCAGACCAAGTACAGAGGCTCAAGAGCCCTGCTTATAGAATTTTCTGGGGTTTCAGTACTCTAGAGGTTTCCCATTGGTTACTTGGCAAATATTCCATGTAAATGAAGAGAATGAAGTGAAGTCACAGAATCATTTACTCAAAATGCTCCGTACTGTAGATGGAGAGGATATTACTTGGTGTGTGATCTATGTAAATGGAGAGGATGAAAGTGAAGTTACAAAGTAGAGATGGCAGTAATGGAGAGGACAAAGTGGAGTTACACAGCCATTCACATTCCTGTCATTGCTGAGGTGCTTTCATTCAATTCAGTTCTAAGAAGTCAGCCTGGATCAGCCGCCTTTTGTTCCCTGCCTGCCTCGTGCCCTATTCTCCTGCCTCATCTCCCCTCTGCAAGCCATGATCCCCATAAATCTTTATGGGAAGAAGAGGAACCAATGGTCATTCTTCTGTGTTGGCTTCCTGCTGACTTGGGGCATAGTCCCTACCTATTGGGGATCACACAACTTTTGCCCTGCTCTGTTTAGTGGAGGCAGGGAAGATCCTTGATGGCCCTGGGTGGTGTCTTCACCTGGAGTGGCTGGAACACTTGTCATACACCTTGATGGTCTCTATATGAGAGGAAAGACATTAGGTTAAAAGATTTAATGAGAACCTTGGGGTGGATACCTATGCCATCAGTAATATTTGTCATAGAAATGTGTTTTTAAAATTCTGCTTAATTACTACAAAGGAAGTGATTTTATCTATTTGGAAGAAGGCAATTAAATTGCAAAAATAAAAAAGGCTATCAGTTTCCACCCCACAGTAACTCTGCAACAAAGACACCAGAAAGTTGGTAGGTGTTGAAAAATGCGCGCTTTGAATGAAGAGACCTTCCAAACAGGCTTTGTGTGAGCAACATGGCTGTTTATTCACCTTGGTGCAGGTGGGCTGAGGCTGAAAAGGGCATTAACAAAGGGCAGTGGGATAGGATTTGGTTTTATAGGTTTGGGTAGTTTTTTGGGGGGTGAGGGTGTTGCAGAGTAAGTTTAGTTCCAGTGGTGGGGGGTAGGGGCAAGGAGTATACAAGTTCAGTTACAATGGCAGGGTTGGGTGAGAGGTACTTACATTATCATAAGAAAAGTTAAGATGGCAGGGTTGGGTGAGGGGCTTGTGGGAAGCTCCGCTGAGTGATTAGGGACAATGGTGAACACAGGCAGGGTGTGGGAGACTTCAGCGGAGGCAAGCAGGACTTCAGACTTTCAGGCTCCAGGCTTGCATATGGAGACCTGACATACTTATCTTTTTATATAGAGAGAGAAAGAATTAGAGAAGAGGGGGTGATGACAGGTTTTAGGGGGTGGGGGTGAAGTTTCTCAAGGCTTCTTCGAGCAGGGTTGGGGGCGGGGTGGAAACCTAACAATGGGAAAGAATTTAGACTGCTGGGAGATTTTGGGGAAAGGGTAATATTGTGGGGTTGTTAGAAGGAGCATTTGTCGTATTGACTGATTGGTTATTGCTTGTATACGATTTTGTAGGAATTGAGAGATGAATTGGAAAAACAGGGTTTAAATAAGAGAAGGAGAAAGAGTATCAGAGGACTAAGGACTGGAAGAAGCCACGACTTCCAGTTAGACAGTGTCCAGCCAGTTTTGCCAGGTTTAGAATAACTATTTGCCAGATTAGTGAGCTTTTGGGCTCTGTCTTTTAATTTATTGATGGTATTATACACGAGGCAGGCTGGTTTACATAAAACAACATTTTATTGGAGCTTTGGACCCGAATGCCAAGGGAACCAGCAAGGGCTGCTGCTGCTGAAGGTTGTAGCAGGGCTTGGTAGGTTAACTGTGTGGAGGGAGAGCTTTTGTTTTTATGGTGTATCAGGAAATGTGTGGTATTTGTAAACCACTTTTATTAACAAGATTGGGTTTGAGCAGAGAACGGGAGCCAGATTAAAAGTGAAATATTAGCTGTAATTGCCTGGAGGAAACGTGTAAACCGGCAACTTAAACAAAAGCAGGGCATGCAAAAGTCAATGAGGACAGTGAATCTGAGCAGTCAGACAGAACACAACAGAAACAGACTTCCTGAGGTGTGGTTTAAGGAATAGGGACAGAAGGCGAGGGGCTGAAAGTAAGTGTGTGAGGTGTAAAGGGAAAACTTTGGAGGTTGTGAGAACTAGAGGGTAAATGGGGCATAGCCTGTGATTTTGAGGAATTTTCAGAGTATTAGGGCGGCAGCTGCTGCTGTGCGTTGTCATGAGGGCCAGCCCAGGACTGTTAGGCTAAGTTGTTTGGATAAAAAGGCTACAGGCCATGGGCCTGGCTCCTATGTGAGGATTCTGACCACACAGCCCTGGATTTTAGCAATACATAATGAAAAAGTGTTGAGACAGGTTGGGGAGGGCTAGGGAGGGAGCAGTTTTTAGAGCTGCGTTTTAAGGAGTGAAAGGAGGAGTGAGGCAAGGATTTAGGATTAATAGGGTTGGATAAGCTTGCTTTAGTGAGTTTATACAATGGCTTAGTTAGAATAGCAAAACCTGGTATCCAGAGGTGAAAGTAGCAACCACGCCCAGGAAGGAGAGAAGCTGTTGTTGGTGGATGGGGTTGGGGTTTGGGAAGTTGACTGGATACGGTTGGCAGGGAGAGCCCATGTATGCTGGTGAAAGATTATAACAGATGGGGAAGAAATTTGGGCTTGGAAGGGGGATACACGATACCCCTTTGAGTATAGATGCTGAAGAAGCAGGAGGGTGAATTGAAAGGCCATGTTGCAATAGACCGGTGATAACAGGCTTTACTTTTAAAGCCTGTGTGGGATGGGGTACTGGGGCTGGGCAGGGTAAGGGTAAACCCCTTAGGTTTTAAGGGGATAATGAGGGGTGAGTGACTTGTAGCAACGGATGGGAAGGCGCTGTTTTACACCCTAGGGTTAAGGTTGAGGAACATAAGGGGCGCTATTGAGGGAGGTACAGGTTTAGGGAGGAGGGCGGCAATGAGGTGTGGCTGCAGCCCAGGAATAATTAAGGAGGCAGACAATTTTGCTAGGATATCTCGGCCTAACAGAGGAACTGGACAAATGGGGATGATTAGGAAAGAATGTGGAAAGGAGTGCTGGCCTAATTGACAGCAGACCTGGGGAGTTTTGAGAGGCCTGGAGGCCTTGCAGTTAATTCTCACGGCAGTTATGGAGGCCAAGGAGACAGGTCCTTGAAAAGAAGGCAGCGTGGAGTGGCGGGTCCGTGCTGATTAAGAAGGGGATGGACTTACCCTTCACCATAAGTGTTACCTGAAGTTTGGCGTCTGTGATGGTCCAGGGGGCTTCCGAGATGCCAGAGCAGCGTTAGTCTTTAGCTGCCACGCCGAGGATTGGAGCTTCAGGAGCTCTGCGAGCAGCTACGTGAGTTCGACACTTGATTTTCTGTGGGAGGCCGCACAGACAGGGCAGGGCTTAGGAGAAATTCCGGGCCGTGGGCATTTCTTGGCCAAGGTTTCCGACACTTGAAGCAAGGTCCAGGAGGGGCGGCTAGACGCGCTGCGGTTTGGGCGCTTTGAAGTTTTTGTGACCCGTGGTGAAGCTGGGGTTTGTTTTACAGAAGAGGGAAGCATCTGTACTTCTAAGATGTGCTGCCGCAGGGCAGATTTTTCCCTATTATTAAACACCTTGAAGGCGAGGTTGCTTAATTGCTGTTGTGGGGTTTGAAGGCCAGATTTTAATGTTTGTACCTTTTTGTAATGTTGGGGTCGATTGGGTGATAAAAATGCATATTAAGCGATTTTTAGGGGTGAGAGTAGAAGAATGACATTTAAGTGACTCCAGGTGAGATTATAGGACTGGGTTAAATATTGGAGGATTTGATGAAAAGGAGCCTAACCAGTGGCCAATTTGGAAAGGTTGGGTAAAGGAAAAGAATGTGCACCCTAACTATGCCTTTGGCTCCAGCCACCTCTGGAAGGGGAGTTGTTGGGGAGGGCAGTGGAGGTAGCCGCAAGACCAAATTGTAAGCTGGACCATGTATGAGGTGGGGAGGTGACCAGAGGGGCATAAGGAGGTGGGTTGTGGGCAGAGGAAGAGGAGGAAGGCTCTGGGAGGTGGGGTTAGATTTTGGATTAAGGCCTGGTTTGGACAGGTGAGGAGGAGAAAGTTTGGAAGGGTTGATGGACAAGGAGGATTCTGGCTTACAGCAGAGGAAGGAAAAGGAAGATGGAAGGGAAGAGAAGTAGTAGAGATTAGGGAGGGATTGGTGTGTAAAAAAATGCCTGGACCTAGGGAATTTCAGACCATTTGCCCGTGTGGTGACAAAAATTGTTTAAATTTTATAAAATAGGTTGAAAGTGCCATTTTTTTGGCCAATTGGGTCCGTTCTTTAACTTGTATTGTGGCCATGCAGTGATACAGAAGAAGATGAGACGTTTGGGTTTTAGGTCAGGAGACAGTTGAAGAGGCTTGAGGTTCTTAAGAACATAGACCAGCAGAGAGGTGGGAGGGATAGAGGACAGACGATTGCCCATGGTTCTGGAAAGTCAGCAGAGACAAGAAAAATGGGCATGCAACCCAGCCACTCAACAGGCGTCCCTAGTTGAGCCTGGGTTGAATCTCGTCATTGGTGAGCAGTCAAAGAGAGCATCCTCTACGTTGACCTGCCACCAATATCGGCCATGAGTCTGGTGGGCAAGTGACTAGGGTGAACGTCTCCATGATAGTCAAAACCTTGGGGAAACTGGGTCCCCCGATCCATGACCTACATAGGATTTTTAGGTCATGAACCTCATGGAAGAACTTGGTTTACCTGATTTTCCTTGTCTTTGCGGTGGAAAAAGGACAAAACTGAAAGGGGGAGGAAGTGGCAAGGAAAAGCCAAAAGGATGGGGAAGCAAACAAGAGAGACTGCTCACCAAAATAGCCAGTGGTGTACGTCTGTGGGCTGGTCTGATGATCCCAGGTCGGTGGGTAGATCTCTTCATGGAGGGAGCACAAGAACAGGGACAGGGGTTTGGTCTCCCGTAGGAGTTCCCCTGTCCCGGGTTTCCGGCACCAAGTGTTGAAAAATGTGTGCTTTGAATGAAGAGACCTTCCAAGCAGGCTTTGTGTGAGCAACATGGCTGTCTATTCACCTGGGTGCAGGTGGGCTAAGGAAAAGGGCATTAGCAAAGGGCAGTGAGCAGTGAGATAGGAGTTGGTTTTCTAGGTTTGGGTAGTTTTTTGGGCGGCAAGGGTGTTGCAGAGTAAGTTCAGTTACAGTGGTGGGGTTGGGTGAGAGGTATTTACATTATCATAAGAACAGTTAAGATGGCAGGGTTGGGTGAGGGGCCCTTTGCCATTAGGGACAATGGCAAATGCAGGCAGTGGGTGGGCGCCATTAGCCAAGGCAAACAGGACTGTAGACTTTCAGGCCCCAGGCTTGTATCTTTTGGCTGTCTTTGAAACAGCCAGAGGTGTACTGGCTGATGGGAACTTTGGGTTCCTGCTCTGGAGCTTCTGGTATTGGTGACTAGATCCTTGAAGAATGTATCCAGCTATCTAATCCTAATATTTTGACTGCAGAAGGCATGGCCAGTGTTACTGAAAATGGTCCTTTCTATTTGGGTTGTAATTGTTGGGCTGGTGATCCTTCCTTCCATGTTTTAACAAGCACCTTATCTCCTGGCCTGGTTTTGAGTTGCTGGTTAGTTCCAGGTGTGAGGAGCCTTTGAATTCCAAACTCTGTAAATCCTGCTGGAATTGTCTTGGGTTGACTAGGTGTTTAATTACACCAACTGTTTCTGGGTCAGTAATTAAATCATTAGTTAAGAATGGCCCTCTGTATAACGTTTTGTATGGGCTGATATTAATTTTCGCACTAGGGATATTACAAATTCTTAAAAGGGCTGTGGGCAATAAGCTAACCCAAGTTTCTGATGTTTCCTGCTACAGTTTAGCTAGTGCTTGTTTAAGTGTTTATTTAGCCCTCTCTACTTTTCCAGAGAGTTGAGGCTTCCAGGCTGAATGTAAATTGTATTTTATTCCAAGAGCCTTAGCAATCCCTTGAGTTATTTGGGAGATAAAGGATGGGGCATTCTCACTTTGGAGACTCTGAGGTAACCCAAACTGGAGAATTACTTCTTTTTTTTTTTTTTCAGATAAAAATGTTCACACCAGCTTTATTTATAGCAGTCCGAAACTGAGCACAACCTAAATGTTTACCAACAGTAAAGTGGGTACATTGTGGTAGCTGCAAACAATCCAGTACTACACAGAATTAAAAGTCACAAAATGGATGAATTCCATAGACATATGGAGTGAAAGGAGCTAGATCCAAATGAGTAAATATAATATGAATCAATTTTGATGACATTCAAACAGATAATACATGGAGACGCAGGTCAAATAGAGGTTGCCCATGGTAGTGGGAGGAGCAAAAGGGTGCCTGCTAGGGGAAATTTTTTTTTTCTTTTTATACATTTTATTGCACTTTAGGTTTTAGGGTACATGTGAAGAACATGCAAGATTGATGGATAGGTACATACATGGCAATGAGGTTTGCTGCCTTCCTCCCCATCACCTATATCTGGCATTTCTACCCATGTTATCCCTTCCCAACTCCCCACCCCCCACTGTCCCTCCTCTAGTTCCCCCCTACAAACACCAGTGTGTATGCTCCCCTCCCTGTATCCATGTGTTCTCATTGCTCAACACCCACCTATGAGTGAGAACATGCAGTGTTTGATTTTCTGTTCTTGTGGCAGTTTGCTGAGAATGATGGTTTCCAGGTTCATCCATGTCCCTACAAAGCACATGAACTCATTGTTTTTTATGGCTGCATAGTATTCCATGGTGTATATGTGCCACATTTTCCCTGTCCAGTCTATCATCGATGGGCATTTGGGTTGGTTCCAGGTCTTTGCTATTGTAAACAGTGCTGCAGTGAACATTTGTGTGCATGTGTCCTTATAATAGAACGATTTATAATCCTTTGGATATATACCCAGTAATGGGATTGCTGGGTCAAATGGAATTTCTATTTCTAGGTCCTTGAGGAATCACCACACTGTCTTCCACAATGGTTGAACTAATTTACACTCCCACCAACAGTGTAAAAGTGTTTCTATTTCTCCACATCCTCTCCAACATCTGTTGTCTCCCAATTTTTTTAATGATCTCCCGATTCTAACTGGGATGAGGTGGTATCTCAATGTAATTTCGATTTGCATTTCTCTAATGACCAATGATGATGAGCATTTTTTCATGTTTGTTGGCCTCAAATATGTCTTCTTTTGTAAAGTGTCTGTTCATATCATTCACCCACTTTAGAATGGGCTTGTTTGTTTCTTGTAAATCTGTTTTAGTTCTTTGTAGATTCTGGATATTAACCCTTTGTCAGATGGGTAGATTGCAAAAATTTTTTTGCATTCTCTTGGTTGCCAATTCACTCTAATGATGGTTTCTTTTGCTGTACAGAAGGTGTGGAGTTTGATTAGGTCCCATTTTTCTATTTTGGCTTTTGTTGCCAATGCTTTTGGTGTTTTGGTCATGAAGAACTTGCCTACTCCTATGTCCTGAATGGTTTTCCTAGATTTTCTTCTGGGGTTTTTATGGTGCCAGGTCTTTAATCCATCTGGGGGCTCATGGCACTTTTTCACCTGGGAATCTCCTGGCCTGGCTCCCTGTTTCAGTCCCCTTTTCTTCAGTTGAACAGGTGACTCTGTCTCGCAGGTGTTCCAGTTGCCAGTTGAAAAGATGCCTGGATTTGTGTGAGATTTTGTGTGGAGACCTGCTGTGCCAGCTGAAACAGCTGCACTGGAGACTCGTGGAGGTTTTTCACCTGGGAATCTCCTGGCCTGGCTCCGTATTTCAGTTCCCTTTTTATGTGTCTCCCAGTCACTCCAGTCACCAGCTGAAATGGCGCCCAGATCCGTGTGAGTTTTTTGTGTGGAGGCCCTCCGTGCTGGCCACAACAGTCACTCTGGAGACCCGTGGTGCTCCTCCACCAGGGATCTCCTGGTCTATGGGCAATAAAAATCCATCTGGAAATGTGGCAACCACTCACCCTCCGCCCTATCACTGGAAGCTGCAATCCAGAGCTGTTCCTAATTGGCCATCTTGGAATCCTCCAAATTACTTCTTTTAAGAGGACTTTTGTAACCTCATTAGCCTTTTCTGTTTTGATGAGGTAAGCTTCAACCCAAACAGTAAAAGTATCCATTAGTGCTAACAAAATTTTGTATCCTTTGCAAGCTGGCATATGGATAAAGTCTAATTGCCAGTCTTTCCCTGGATAAGTTCCCCTCCTTTGGACTGGTTTTATTACAGGGGGCATTTTGTTCCTCGGATTGTTAAATGCAGTGAGCAGTCTTGGCAGAGCTGCTTAGCCATTGAAGCTGAGTTAGACCAGTAAAGAATTTGTTTACCATGGCCAGAGTTGAATCCTTCCCCACATGGAAAGAGTAAGGCAGGGCTTTTATAACTTTCCACTAGGCTTCCTGAGGGAAATATATTTT